TTATAAGTACGAAACACAGGAATTACAGGTTTAAACTTTGTGGAACTGGCATTATTCATTTTTGAAATATTAAAATAAATTATAACGGTTCTGAATCAAAGTTTATATAAACTTATTTGGTTATTTTTACCTAGGAACGAAATGTTGTGCATTTCCTCACGGAATATAACCAATGTTTTTTGTTGATATAAGTTGACGTCATTATCTAATAACGCTTTGTATAAAATCCTTATCAATTTATATACACGTATTTCTTACGTCTCTCATATAAAAAAATTATACAGTTGCAATACATAACCTACTCCAGTTCTTATATCTGGCAATAGTTTCCAATTCCATGCAAAATTTGTTTTTCAATTATCTATTCTTATATTAACGAAACTAAATGTGCATTTGAATGTTTTATTTCCACGGTGGAATAGGTATAAAAAACCATTTTTAAACTTTCCCTCACATCAACTAAGTCTGTTTTACAAATTACTTTTGTTACGTTTCCAATATGCATAGTTTTTTTACCAACAATTAATTGCTGCTGACACAGAATTCAACAAAACTAGCTTTAGTACCTATTAATATTTACTTCTCATTCGAAGTCGAGGAATTCTAAATGAGGCGGTGATCCACTCCTCCCATTTAGTATTGAAAACACAAAATATTTCGAGGCCAACGAACCTGACAAGGCGATTCATATGTCTTCGTTGTGCCGAGGGAACATTTAAAAATACTTAATTAAATCATAATTCTCGTTCCAAATCTGGAAACCTGCGTTTTTGTTGAAAATGTGGCCTATCAGTTTGACGACATGGTTGGAATACACATAATTAATAATAGTCCAGGCGTGAGAGCAGTAAAAGTAGGCTTTGACGTTTGTGTTTGAAGTCATCTATTTTGTTGTACAGAAACTTCCTAAATATTATGTATAATAACAATCCGAGTTTGCCTGTTCCAAAAAACCATTGCTAAATTCAGGGCAACAACAAACTTACAAAAAGGACGAAAAATTACCTGTTTTCGACAAATTTTTTCCTGTAACATTGAAAGTAAGCCCTAAATAAAAAACAATCATTCTTTCTTTGTTTATTTGACGATTTTCTATAAAGTTACAACAATTGCGATTCAAAAAAGTTGAATTTTGCATTACAATGGGCGAAAAATAGTAGAAAATCATATGTATATTTGGAGCAATTTTTAAAATAAGTAAATATTTATAAATACTGATGAAACTTACATAATTGTTTACAGAGTAAAATGCTAAAAAAATTCTAAATGGTTATAAAAGTGCAAAAATAGGTATTTTTAATATTGATCATTGTTTACTATGATCTCTCTCTAAAAAATTGTGTGCCCTTTCTAAACCTTAATTTAAACACACGGTACAAGATAAACTTTTTGAAATTTTCTTAAGTATCTAACAATCCTGTCAATCGAAAACCACGAGAACGATCGCTGCAAAATTTTTAGGGTAGAATTGACATAATGTTTTACTATCTGTTCACAAAGTTCCATCAATATTTATAAATATTTACTTATTTTAAAAATTGCTTCAAATATTCATATGATTTTCTAATATTTTTCGCGCATTGTTAATGCAACTTTTTCTATTTGCAGTTATTATAACTTAAAATCGTCAAATAAACAAAAAATAAAGAACTTTTTTATTTAGGGCTTACTTTCAATGTTACAGGGAAAAATAAGTCGAAAAACGGGTCATTTTTCGTTCTTTTTGTATGTTTGTTGTTCCCCTGAATTTAGCAATGGTTTTTTGGAATAGTCAAACTCTGATTCTTATTCTACATAATATTTGGGATTTTTCTGTACAAAATAGATGATTTCAAATACAAATGCCTCGAATGATTTACAGCCTGGATTATAACTACGCAGCTTTTGATCGTTTATTTGGGGAAGGAGTGGGATAATTATTTTATCAAAATGCGCAGGACTTACCTATTCGAGCGTACCAACACCAACACTAACACGTTTTTCATTCTATGCACTAAATTTAATGAGATAATTTTATCAAGAAACTAATAAAAAATTAATTATGTAGTATAATCCGTATTACGTAAATCCTTTAGTTTTAGTGCTCGTGGAGAATTATCATTTACATTATAATTTGTAATGGAAGAAAATAAAAGTGTACTGTTAATTTCTGTAGCATTCATTAACCGTTAATATATTCCAAGTTTATGCTCGGCGATCAATAAGAATGTTTACATGGTTAATTAACTGCTGGTGGTTAGGTTACGTAAAATTAAAACCACTAAACTTGAACGTGATTACTGTTTAGAAAGTTTTGTACTTTTTTTCCACTTTTACAGACGGAGGAAGGAACTTTTACGGTGATCCCATTGTGCTTCGAGAGTGATCGTCGAAATCGATAGAAAAATCATTTCTAAGAGAAAATTTAACCAAAAAAAAAAGTATTTTGTGTTATTTATTCATTTAACCGCTCTTGCTAGTCTAATTGTATTATTACTCTAAAAAAGGCACCCTAGCATATGGGGGGCAAACTTCACACGACCCCCTCCCCCCATCTATGATATTGTTCTGGGATGTACTGTAGTTCTGCATAAAACGATTAAAACAGACATAAACTAATGCAAAAAATTAAATTAAAGGGTCAAAAGAATTTCCGAAATTTTTCTGTGATTTTTGACAGACTGTATTTAGGTGAAAAATGGTCGTATTGAGAATTTAAAAAAAGCATTTTGAAGCTCTAAGATTCTAGTTTAGATCTTTCCGTCGAAATTTTATAGGTGCTACGGTTATCATGCGCTAATAGCACGACAAAAAATTTTGCAAATTTAGTTTTCTTAGTCCACGAACTGGGAAACTTTTTTTTTTCAGCTAAGCCACTGCATTGATCAGATAGCTTGTTTATTTAGCTTCAATTTCCTCGAAATATCGGACTTTTAATGGAAAAGGATCCTTTTGTCTTCAAACATCGATATCTCTGCGACAAATGGTAGTACAGAGAATTGAAGGGCAGTTTCGAAAACTGGAATAAATTCCTATAACATGCTGCAGGAAAAAATATTTTTTCATCTTTTACACGAATTTTAACAAAAAAAAAGGAAAAGCGGGTAATTTATGGCTTTTTAGAAAATTGACGGCTAAATTAAAAATATTCACGAAATGACAGTTCGATATACCCAGAAGAACCCTATGAAGTTTTATCTCGATCTAGCGAACCGTTTCTTTGTTTCAAACAAACTTTTGAAAAAAATTAAAGGGTCACGTTTTTTGAGCTTAAACACTTCATAATCATGATTCGAATGGAAAAAAAAATGTTTGAGGTTTTCTCACATTTTTATCGCAAATAACGAAAAATGTTCAAAAACATTTTCGAAATTTTTTTGTTTTTATTTTTATGGAAAATCTTCTGGACATTGAAGAAAACTTCCAATTGTTTCCAGCACGATTGTTAACTTTTAATTAAATTAAAATTCAAGTTGATGACCCAAACCAGATTTCGACCCCAGATTGATACCGTTTTTGAGGGAAATTTCTAATTAATTTTTGTGCAGTCTTAAATCACTTAAAAAACTGTTTTTTTCAAAACTACTCTTCTTCTTCTTTGAAAAAAAAATTTTGCAAAAAAGCTTCAAAATGCTTTTTTTAAATCCCAATACGACCATTTTTCACCTAAATACAGTCTGTCAAAAATCACAGAAAAATTTCGGAAATTCTTTTGACCCTTTAATTTTTTGCATTAGTTTAGTTATGGGTAGAAGTTCCAAAAAAAAAAAGTTTTCCTGAATATAGCAGCAGTTCTTCATTGTGCTTGCATAGCTCTACAATGTTGTGCAAACCGCGTCACTCTGGTCATTCTAGTCTGGGAGATATCAATTTAATTAATTTAAGCTTGGTTAGCAAGATATAGTAGAACTATTCGAGCACAGTTTAAAACTGCTCTTATATTCACCAGACCTCCCCGCTTTGAAATCTCAAGAACTGCTTTAATTCATTAAATACGATATATCCGCGACTAGAATGGTTAGAGTGACGCGGTTTGCACAAAACTGTAGCTCTATTCAAGCACAATGCAGAACTACCGCTATTTTCAGGAAAATTAAACGTTTTAAGATGCAGAACTAAAGCTGAAAGGTGTAAAGCACTGTAGAACTATTGAAGTACATTCCAGAACAAGAAGAAAATAGAGTACTTCATACAGCTGTTTTTTATAGAGCACTTAGAATTATTCGTCAACAAAAGAGCACGGTAGCATTGGGAGGCCAACTTCACAGACACATTTTTGCATTTTTCAATAGACAAGTAATTGTTGTCTTAATAATAAGGTATAAATTTTCTACCGTGTCTGATATTGTCAACAATTATGATCTTATTACGAAGCAGGAAAAACTGGATGATTAATAAAGGGATTATAATCTAATACAGATGATTTATATTTGATGGTTTAATTTTATTGAAATTTCCAGAAATGCCAATTTTAACTATGAGCAGTGAGTTTTTAGATACATTATATTACTAAGACTGTATTAAAATATTTACATAAAAAACAGAAATTCTGTCGAGCACGTAGAGCCGATTTTCGAGATGACCTTTTTTTCGAAAAATCGAAAAATTTTTAATATTTTGTAATTTAAAAAAGGAACTTTTTTGCTTGCCGAGGTCTACATTTACAGCAAGTAACAAGTTTCAAAACCTTTATTTGCAAGAGATACAGCAAAAACAAAAAAAGTCGATTTTTAACGGTTTTTTCAATATATCTCAAAAATAAAATAGCAAACGATATATTTAATAGTATATTATGCAACGATCATGTAATGATGGTTATTAATACACGAGCATTAACCGGGATACGAAACGAGCCGAAGGCGAGTTTCGTATGGTTTATGCGAGTGTATTAATAACCATTACATGAGAGTTGCATACGCTATTTTTTCTACAACCGATAAATAATCAGAAACCATAAATTTTATATTTTTATTGAACACAATAGGTAACAGTAATTATTCGTATTTCTATAAAAAAAATCTACAAAATTGTAATTAATACCTCGGGTATTGGTATTGCCATAGATACAAGAAAACTATAAACATTTTATTTGTATTTATATTCAACATATAATAATTGTAATTAATCCGATTTCTTAAAAATATTAAGATTATTTATTGTGCAGTTTGAAAAGTTTATTCCAGGTCCCACTGATCTGGAAGTGGAAGGAATATTTACATTTATTTCATTATTGCTAGTCTCAATAGAGTTCAATATTGTATTGGAAATGCTGATTTTATTCTGAACCGAATTTTCAATGTAGCCTTCTGCCACTGAATTGGATTTCCAGCCACCATGGCGTTTTAATGTAGTAATATCACCACCGGCATCTACTAATACGGTTGCAGATGTCCTACGAAAACAATGCCCTGTATATAAATTCGGATCAGGCAGATTTAAATATGTTGCTATTTTCTTCCCTATATCACCAAATTTATTAATACCAATGTTTTGAATTGTGCATTTTCCATTTAAATAATTAACGAAAAAAGATGGGGTGGGGCAAATTTTAGGCCGTAGATTCATATATTTTTTACTAATTTCGTAGTATTTGCCGGTAATTGTAAATGTTCGTTGTACTTTTGTTTTAGTTTCTATCACATTAACAATTAAGATTCCATTCATATCTTTGACATTTTCACATTTTAGGTCATGTAGTTCATGCCTTCGACATGCTCCCATTATTCCAAAAATCATTGCTACCTAAAAAAAACAACAATAGTAAATAAAGAGAAGAAAAAAAAAGGAAAAAAAAAAAAAAAGAAAAAAAAAGCAGGATGACCTAGGCTGGTTTCGAACCCGGATCTCATACTGTAGTCTAGTCCAAATTGAGCGCCTTAACCCGCTCGGCCACGAGTTCGGTTTATGAGTTTGCTCGAAATTAATGAAATATACCTATCATGCATGAGTCGAATGGAAAATGTAATCATGAAATTTTTTTAAAAATGCAATGTTAGATAGATACTTACTTTTAAAAATAAAAACCGTTCATCGGGTGCTTCGTCGATAAACGTTTTTATTTGTTCAGGTGAAAATATTTTTGCTTTTTTTCCAACATATCCTTCGGACTTTCGCTTTAATAAAGCTTGTAGTTTCTTATATTTAGAAATGTTTATATTATGGTTTATATTTACCAACGTTTTTATTATTGAATAATGTGTCCATGTACTAGATGATTTCATAGTTTCCATCAATTCTTGAAAATAAGCAATTAAAACATTTTCGGAGAATGTCGAAATATTATTTGTATTTCTCCAGTCCATAAACCGTTGATAAAGTTTTTCGTACACTTTCTTAGATTTTTGGGGTAAAATATTTTGAACTGCATTTTCTGCTTTCTCCGATATGTGTGGAGGAGTCGATGGTAATTCTTCTATATCGCTGATATCAGACATTTTGATAAATTATCGAAGTTTAGCTAGGTATCTACGAAAATTTAATACGTACTGATTCTGACATCTAAAATAATTACATAGGAACCTAGCATAAACGTCAAATGCACAGCATGCTTGATTGAAAAATTATGGGTTTCTATTGATTAAAAATCTGTATCGTAATGAAAAATCTGTATCGTAATGGGTATCATTATGAAACGGATTATGGGCATATAAGTGCATTGTTATAATACGGGTGTAGAAAAAAATACGAATCTATAGGTTTTTTTAATAGCTTTTTTTTTCCTATATCACCATATTTTTTGTTTCCAGGTGGTATTTTTTGTAAATTTAACATGACAGACAGATTGATTGGACTACTTGTCTAGCTGACGTTTGTATATTTGCATTTGACGTAAAAAAAGTAAACATAATTGTACAATAAAGAATTATAATATCTAGAAACTCTTTATATTCTTGTTTAGTTTTAGTTGATCTCAACTTAACCCAAAATATTTTTATTTTATATCGATTTTTTTTTATTTTCCATGCATTCATGATTTATTTTGTTTTACTTAAAAATATATAGTTTTAGTTGTTTCATAAGACAAATAAAAAATGTCCTTAATTTTTTGCCTTTGCTCTGAATTTTTAGTTGTTTTAACCACAAAATAACAAATTAAAAGTTGCCAACCATATCAATAAACGAACTTTTTCTTTCTCATTTCTCACGGATTCAAAATCACGAGCAATATTTAAATAGACTGGAGTATGAATGACATCATTCTAATTTAGCATTTCAAACTGACGAAGAAACTTTATCTAATCAATAATAAAACCATAATCCCTTGTGATGTACGATTTACGTTATCTTTTATGGCATCTCATTTTCTAAATCCTTAATCACACACAGCCATCGTTGCAGTCTGTACTTTCCAGTGTAAAATTAGTTACACATTGTCAATTTACGTTTTTACAAACACATTTATGGGAAAAAAATACTAAATTTGCGTGGTTAATATCAAACGATTATCCGCTAAATTTGATTAACCTAAACAAACACACTAGAACAACAGTTGTAACTTATTGTATGCTTCAAATATGTATGATAATACCTCGATAGGTTATCATAATTCCGATACAGTGGAGATAAATGCACGACAGGAAAATAAATTAATTTTCTGCAAATACCTACAGGGATCATTAGATATTGGCAGATTTCAATTAGAATTGAGTGTAATGACAACATAATCGAAATAATCGATAAACGGGCATTGGAAATTATGAGTAGTGCTCAAAAATCACTACTTTGAGACAATGGAGACCTCTGTAAGTAAATACTCTTTCCAAAGATACAGAAGTACTTAAAAAAACCATCCTGTTTTTATTTTGGCAGTTGGAGACCATTCAAAATATATCTTGGTAAGTCTCGATTTCTTTCACAAGCCATTTGAGACTCCAGCAGAAGATGAAAGCAAATGGGAGGAACAGATTGATACTCTGGAGTATGGGTGCTGGAATATATGGACTCAGACCCAAATGGCGACTGACTGAACTGGCTACCACTAAAACACTTAGACTGTGTTGGGTGTCAGGACACACAGGGATTGACGGAAATGAGGAAGCGGATGAACTTGCTAGGAAGGGATCTAAACCAGAGTTCATTGGCCCGGAGCCCTTCTGCGGTACATCTCCCAGTGTGGTCAGTGTGGCAAATGGACACAGGAAACACTGGACTTCAAGGCCAGGGTAAAGCCACTCGAAGGGATTTATGGAGTATCCTTTGCTTTTGCTTTGCTTTGAAGGAGAACACGAGTTGCTGACCTTGAATAAAATTCGACTCAGGAAAGTGACGGGACTTATAACGGGACACTGTCACTTTAGGAAACATCTACACAAGCTAAATCTTGAAGACAGGATGTGATTCGACGGATGAAACCCCTCTGCATATTCTGGGCGAGTGCCCAGGATTTGCACATAGTAGAATGACGCTCCTGGAATGGAATGGATCTATCTGGAACCCAAGGAGCTGAGAGAAGTGCTAGGAAACCTTTGGACTTCGTATATAGGACAAAACTACTTGCTGAATAGGACTGAGTACTGGGACGCACAATAGGCCTGATAAGGTCGCGGTGACCGCTAGGACAAAAAAGAAGAAGAGGAAGTCCTGATCTAATCATCCTCAAATCGTTCCGTATTTTTTAAATGTTTAACAACTGTTATATTTTATAATTTCGGGAGGTTTGAACATTTTTGTAACAATTCGGATTCAAACGATACATTAATTAGATGAGAAATTAAACGATAAAAAATATCGTCAATTTTTATAAGTCGTTTATAACAAACTGTAAAGAACTCTATGAATATAAAAATTTACTCAACTTTTAACAATTATTTTACTATTAAATATCCATAAAAGTACTTGTACGTACTGATAATCATTAAAATGTTAATCTCAAGCATACAGCGAATGGTCTAGAAAAATACAGGTATTTATTAGTGTTTATTATTTTAAAGTTATTAACGTAGAATGTAATATATAAATAAATTTGTTACAATTTTATAGATAATCATAAATTGGCATTACTGATATATTCAGAATTCTAACTTGAATGTATTGTATTAATCTTGAAGTGTCCACCAGTTCAATAAAAGCCGTTTTACATTGACAATTTATTCATGAATAAATTGACGAAGTTCTTCATGAATTAATTCACGAATTTATTGGTAAACAGTGTGGTTTTACACTGCTACAGACTTTGTCAAGATTTTTGACGCATGAATCAGTTCTACCAACGAATCAAAGAAGCAAATAAATTTCAAAAATGTCACCTTTCCACTCATAATTGTAGTGATACAACAGCGGTACCGTTCTGACACATATTATATAAATATTAGTTTTTGTAAGTAACAAATCAGTAAAAACAATGCAAAACTAGCACGACGCGACGCCACACAATTATTTACATATTCCAATAACATAACCTCATTACTGATCTGAGGCTGGAAATCTGTTGGGTTGGTACTTCCAAACTTCACGAAGAAATTGACGAAAATTAGAACATGCTCTAATTCGTCAAGAACTTGATGAATAAATTCATGAAGTTATCAGACAGCAGATTTGGTGCATTACACTTGTCCAATTTCTTGATGAAGCGACTTCATGAATTAATTCATCAATAAATTGTCAATGTAAAACAGCTATAAAAGCTGAAGTTCAGAAGTACCAACCCAACAGATTTCCAGCCTCAGATCAGTAATGAGGTTATGTTATTGGAATATGTAAATAATTGTGTGGCGTCGTGCTAGTTTTGCATTGTTTTTACTGATTTGTTACTTACAAAAACTAATATTTATATAATATGTGTCAGAACGGTACCGCTGTTGTATCACTACAATTATGAGTGGAAAGGTGACATTTTTAAAATTTATTTGCTTCTTTGATTCATTGGTAGAACTGATTCATACGTAAAAAAACTTGACAAAGTCTGTAGCAGTGTAAACCCACACTGTTTACTAATAAATTCGTGAATTAATTGATGAAGAACTTCGTCAATTTATTGATGAATAAATTGTCAATGTAAAACAGCTATAAGAAATTTCATCTATAAAAGGGAGCATGCAATTGATATTTTCCCACTTTCACCCACATTCACTTTGGAAACTATTGCACCAAGTGTAAGAAATTAATGGAAAAGGTTCAAAAACTTAGAGAAATAGACGGCTTTTTTGAAATCTCACTTCTTTCGCGCTTTGTTCGGCTGTAGATTCCTCAAAAAACCTGGAGAACTTTTCCGTTTTGGAGCAATTTGATCCAAACTTACTTGATGGGCCCTTTGAAATCTACTGAAAAACCAAAACTGTCATGAACTTCAGAGCGCAGAATCAACGTTCAACACTCTTGACGTGCGATCTAAGAAAATATGTTGATGCTATCGCCACTGGGCTTATCTGTAACTTTAAACCGAGCTCATTGACAGTTTTGGAAGTATTATCTTTCAACAAGATTTCTCCCGCATCTACGCAGAGAAAAATTGTTTGCGTCGAACCAGTGTTTTCAAGTTTCATCAAACGTAGATAAATCAAAATTTGAGATAAAGGATACCCACCTCTGAACATGGAATATCAAAACACTCCCCGATCTTCTGGTACAGCTCCCTGACGTTGGAGAATCCCGACACAAAGGCCGTGGGGCTGCCATGGGCAAGTTGGCAGTAGAACTGTAGCGAATTTTTCGACACTGGCGACACGGGGCTCAATGGGGGCTTGCTGGACACATTATTGTTCTCGTAATGGGGCTCGCCGTTCTGGGGCGCAGGGGCACTGCTTTTCGGGCGATTCTTTTTAAACATTTTTTTTCGCGGAGCTCGGCCTATTTGCGCACAGAAATTATTCCACAATTACGGCACACTAACTAAACAGGCTCGAGTGTCTGAACATCACGACGCGTTATCAGTAGATAAAGTGATTTTAATACTTTAATAGGTATCGCGTTGCAGATTAGAAGCGATGGTATGATACGAGGCATTCGTATCAGCAACGCACTCGCTGATGGACTGGCGGAGGTTCGGTGGATTCGAACTCGCGGAAGAAAGTTTTGATGCAGGCGCAGGTGTGATAGAGAACGCGTTGTAAGCATTTAATACGCGTTCGGGGTGATCTTAAATAGGGTCGGTTCATTTGGTAAAACTCGATACAAAATGATACGTAAGTGAAGGGGGTGTCTCTAAAAGCTCTGGACCAAATTTTACCACATATTTCTGGCCCCAAATTACGATCCAAAATGTGATAGTTTCCGAGATACAGGGTCTTGAAATTGCAATTTTATTTTATTTTTCTTCAATAACTTCATTATTAATTATAGTAAATACCTACATAAAACTTTTGTCTGACCTAGTGTATTGGATTTTTAATAAAAATAAAAAATTGTCCGACGTTTCTTCTAAAGAAATATATACAGGGTGTTTCATATCTCTACTGACACAGCAGGCACGTGCAGAGGATCTTAAAATATGCTGATTTGTTATGTAACATTTTTTTCTGGGATGTACCGTTAAAGAGATATTGCCTCTGAAGATGAGTGTTAAGTTTTGAAAAACAATAATATTTCAGCACATATAGAGCAATCAAATTTGGTACATGATTTGCGTATATTGTTATCTTTAATTGGTAAAAATATGAATTTGTTGGAAGTTCAATAAGGTCTGGACTAAGGGTTGGCCGCCCTTAAAACGATTTTTTATCAGTTTTACCAGTATTACAGGAAATTTAAATTTTTTTTACTCATACAAGTTTTTCGAAAAAATAACGGTTTTTGAGAAAATCGGGATTTTGTGAAAGAGCGTCATTACTAATAGTCCAATCAATCTGTCAAGGCCTAATGTTAAATTTACAAAAAATACCACCTGGAAACAAAAATATGGTGATATAGGAAAAAAAATTGTAAGTAAAAGTGTTTTTTTCCATGGCGCATAAACGGCGAAGTTAACCTAAAAAATTCATAAAAGTAAAAAAACGGTTTTTCGCTAATAAAAAAAACGAACTCCAATCGAAAAAAGTCAAATAAAGTTATAGCAATTAAAAAAAAACTATCAATATGTATTTTTAAATATGTTGATTGCTATATTACATTTCGAGATATATCGAAAAAAACGACAAAAATCGACTTTTTTGTTTTTGCTGTATCTCTTTTTGCTGTATCTGTAAGGTTTTGAAACATGTTACTTGCTACAAATGTAGCCCTCGACAAGCAAAAAAATACCTTTTTATAAATTAAAAAATATTAAAAGTTTTTCGAGCTATAGGTATCGATTTTTCGAAAAAAGGTCATCTCGAAAATCGGCTCCTCTTGCTCGACGAATAGTCGTAGAGAAACGAATCAGGGCTAATTTGTTTTCTTAAGAGTTGTACTTTCATGGTAAAAAAGAGTTTAACTATTTTATTCACTTCAAGTATCAAAAAATTACTGAAAAAAAGTAAACATTTTTTGGTCGCGTTTTTCTTGAATATCTTTTTCGATTTTCGTTTTTCGATAATGTCTATTACAGGAATCGATTGCTGTCATTTTTACGCGAACTTAAAAAAAAACGTTGCTCTACAACCTTCTGGAGTCGAGATACTTTTTTTTCAAAAAATTCCACAGGCCGCTATTTAAGTGGTACAGCGTCCATTCTTATAGAGATTGAAGTTGCAGAGTTATATTTTCAATAAAAAAATACTGTGGTTAATTTTAGCCACTTCTGCATGTTTAATTGTGCGTCAAACCGAAGCATAACTGTAGCGGTAGCAGAATGGGGGTAGCGATACTCGACCGCTCAGAAAACTGAATTCGCGCGTTCAAAAGCGCTCTTACTTTCAAAATCTTCATTATCTCGACTTCTGGTCACTGTACAAAAATTCTTTTATACTTAATCTGGGGTAGCTCGACGAGATAAATCAAAATATGACGTTTATGACGGCCTGAAAAGCATAATTACCTTTAAAAAATGTTATTTTCCTTCAGTCTAAAATCGATAGGTTTTTTTAATAGCTACAACTTTATCATTTAACTTTTTTTATTAGCAAAAAACTAGTTTTTGGCATTTGTGAATTGTTTAGGTTAACTTCGTCGTTTATGCGCCACAGGAAAAAACAGTATCTTAGAATTTTTTTTTCCTATATCACCATATTTTTTGTTTCCAGGTGGTATTTTTTGTAAGCTCTTCTACCTATTGATTAGACTACAATTGAATCAGACAAAAAGTAAAGTATGCAGTTTTACGACTAGTAGGCTATGATTTCATGTGTCATTTTTGAAGTTTACCAAAAAGTATCAAGAAAAAGCAATTTCATTAAATTATATTCGTTATTTTGTTTTTAACAAATTTAAAAAAGAGGAACCTTACAAACAAAACATTAACAAATTCAACTTTAACCACATGAACTACCGATATCGTTAAATAGCACTTCAATAATTGTTGAAAATGGCCACCATTTCTCTAATACATAAATTTACCCTCCGCCGAAAATTAAAATCTACTCTGCGCAATAACTGTGGATTATTTTTTATGGCGTTGCATTCCATAAATCTGCTCCAGATACAACCCGATTTTCTCAAAAACCGTTATTTTTTTAAAAAATTTGTAATTGTATTGTTTAAAATTAAATTTCCTGAAATACTGGTAAAACTATTTAATAATTGGCATATTGGGCTTCGAATAAGATCATATTTTTACCAATTAAAGATAACAATAAACACAAATCATGCATGTACCAAATTTGGTTGATCTATATGTTACGGCATTGCTGAAATATTATTGTTTTTCAAAATTTAACACTCATGATCAGAGGCCAATATCTCTTCAACGGTACATTCCAGAAAACAAATCGGCATATTTTAAGATCCTCTACACGTGCCTGCTCTGTGTAGGTAGAGTTATGAAACACCCTGTAGAAAGCAGTTATGAAAATAATGGTAATTTATTTATATTTTACACGAGACCATCGTTTAAAATTATTAATGTTATGAAATTAACATATATTTTTTTCATTTGCAAAAAGATTCGCTCGCATGTTACCCGCCCTCTGATATTAACAGCGACAGCGGCCGGTGAAATAAGCGCTGGGGCAATACTAGCTTCCCCGATTTAAGTGGGGCAACAACTATTTAATTTTTTGTCGGAGTCTGCACCAGCATCTCCCCGTGGATACCATCCTCAATTTCTTTCATATCTTCTGAAGAGGTGCAGTTGGTCGGCGTTTCGAACAGCAATTTGAGATGATTTATTAACGCAGAAATACCTAACACAGAAAAGCTTGCTGCACGTACAGTATACTCAGCTAATTTTCCGCTCGTTTTTCTATCGTTAAGAATAATCAACCCAAGAAATATTGTAGAAGAACATGCATATTACTGCTTCAAAGTATCTTAGTAAGAAATTTAACAGTTATATTTTTATTCAATATGCCAGAGTGACGGAAGTTCAAAATTTGACGCTGTCTCTCTTACTGGGGACAGACCTTTCAAACATTATACACTATAATGTTAAAGAATCGCTCTATCCGAATATGTAAGACAATTTTTCGTGGTCCCCCTTGTCTTTCGACCCAAAAAAATTTGGTCGCATATTTAAATTTCTTAAAAATTATCAGTCCACTAGAAAGTCATTAAATTTAGAAACTTTTTGTCGCTTTATACTTTTTTTCGTAAAAGGCAATGTTTTCGAGAAAAATGTCAAAATGTGGTCGATTGCATATCGTGGTTCGCCATTTCCCTCAAAAACATTGCGTTTTACGAAACAAATATCAAGAGATGAAAAAGTTTCTAAATTCAATGGCATCTAGTTAACTAAAAATTTAAAAAAAATCAAATTTGCGACCAAATTTTTCTGGTTCCAAAGACAAGGGGGCCCACGAAAAAGTATCTTAAGGGGGTTTCTCGGCAAAAAGCGTAGCACTGTGAGATTCCACATGTCATAAAACCCCTGTGTACCAAATTTAGTGATTCTCGTACAACATGGTTTTGAGATATAAAAAAAACTTCTTAGGGGCAGATCCGAAAGAGGGGGCCAGTTGGCAAAAAGAAAAAATACGGGTCCCCTAAATTTGTCTTAAGAATCTAAGACCAAATTTTGTTGCATGAATTTCGGGACACCCTGTACATTAAATTGTTGCTGTTGATATGTCCAAATTTTTTTTTATACATCTCCAAGTTACTGAATAAACATATCTTCACAGAGATAGTGATTATTTTGACCTACGACCTCATACCTTGACAGAAATTCATCCGACTGTCCTACTTCATTGATATATTTAGTCCCCTTTACTTACATCTCGATATAATATGCAGTAATTTCTTAAATATTAAAAAAAATACCCCGAGTCAGAATATACACTTTTTATTTAAGCATTTTAGGCTAAAATCTCCATATTTTGGGTAAAGGCTTCTGAAGAATAAGTAAATTCTAACATATACTTATGCAACACACATTACACTAGTTATACAGGGTGTTAAAAAAAGAGTGTAAAATATTTCAGGAGGTAATAGTATGAACCAAAATAAGCAGAAAAGCCTTAAAACATGGGTCCGCAAAGTAACGATTGCGAAGATATGGACCACTATTCGTTTTTCAAACATTTTATTTTATTAGGAATAAACCGACAAACGAAGCTTTTAACAAACAAAAAACAAAGTTACAGAAGATGTTCAAAGTGCCTTCCGTACATTTCCAAGCAGGCACGACATCTTCGTCTCAACGATATTCGAACTCTTTCGAAAACACCCTCCTTGGTTTGGATTTCTTTACACTTTTGATTAATCCGTAGCTGCAGCTCTTCCAGGCTATTTACAGGAGTACCATACACTAATGTCTTCAAATATCCCCAAACAAAGAAATCTAGAGGGTTCAGATCAGGCGATCTTGGAGGCCATAAAACAGGCCCAGCCCTTCCTACCCATCTATGTGGAAAAGTTTGGTGTAAATGCTCTCTAACGGCCATGGAAAAATGAGCTGGAGCACCATCATGCTGGAACCACATTTGTTGCCTCTGATTCAAAGGAATGTCTTCCAAAAACTCATACAGTGTGTTCTGCAGAAAGTTGAGGTAAGCAGCGCCTGTTAATCGGTTTGGTAAAACAACAGGACCTAGAAACCTGTCACCTACAATACCCATCCAAATGTTTAATGAAAAATATGCGTATTGTGAAAATTAAACACTCCATTTCTTGTGAACCCGGCCTCATCAGTAAAAAGAATGTTTGCAAGAAAACGAGGGTCTTCAGCATCATGACGTAGAAACCAGCGGCAAAAAACCAAACGTGCTTGATGATCATTTATTGGATTTAAGGCCTGTACTCGTTGCACATGGTATGGATAAAGCAGTTGCTCGTGAAGGATTCTCCAAACAAGAGGACCACTAATTCCTACCTCGGCTGATATTCTCCGCACACTCGTACCTGGATTCTGCTCTACCAGTGCTAGAATTTCTTAGTCTGCTCTAGGAGTGGATACCGACCTTGGTCTTCCGGATAAATGGCACTGTTTGCTCAAGGAACCGGTATCACGCAATCTTTGGTGAATTCTTCCAAACGTGCGTTGTGAAGGAATCTGGCGATTTGGATAAGCGTCAACATAAAGACGTCGCGCTTCGGTAGCGTTCCCATTAGCACGGCCATACATGAAATGCATGTCTGTTAATTCTGCGTTAGAGTAACCAGCCATAGCGAAAGAAAACTTGTGCACTGAGAACAACTGTCAAATACGTACTGTTTATTTCACTAAACATCAACCAACTATTATAAGAAAATACACGTTTATGCAAAATAAAAAAAGGGGCTAAAAAACATAAAACATTCCATATCTCCGCAACCGTTACTTTGCGGACCCATGTTTATTAAGACTTTTCTGCTTATTTTGGTTCATACTATTACCTCCTTAAATATTTTACACTCTTTTTTTAACACCCTGTATATGTAGAATCGGGACTAATAAGGCTCAAATTTTTCATGACTGTACTTTTAAATTTATTGTGGTTTACAATTGAATCAGTATTTTACAGTACAGTGCAAAGTTGACTGCTGTTGACTCCTCGTGAAAAATGACAATAAAAAATAATATAAATAGGCAAAAATTAATTTAATTTCATAAATAAATATATATAAAATAATTTAGCTCTGATCTCTGTCAAGTATAAATTTCTGTACATATTCTTCTGCCATTTCCCTGTGTTTGATGTATGATAGAAAGACATTATATAACATTGTTACAAAATTTATATAAAAAACTTGGTACTTTCGTGGAACATAGTAAAAATTGATAAATTGTGTTGGGGGCCATACAAACCAATCCATCTAAAAAAAATACAGTTAATAAATATATTTATAAAGCAAAGAATATATTTTAAAGCAACCGGCAATATTTTAAAACGGAATGGCTTTTATAATCACAATAGAGATAATAAGTATTATTACATACCACATAGACTTCAGCGAATTTATTTTTAAGTTCTTCATTACATTCTTTAACCGGCTTTAACTCCAAGGCACCCATACTATAGAAGAAAGCAGCTATGCAAATAGGACTCATAACAAATTGATCTATCAGAATTTTTTTTGTTACAGTGGCCAAATTTCTGGCCGGCATAGCTTTACCCAGCCATACATAGAAATAGTGATGTATGGGCCCCAAACCTAAACCTACGATAAACATTCGAGCTGAAAATAATGATTATATAAACTGACAACACCAAACTCGTAATACCATACTTAACCGTCCATAGTCATATCTTTGAGGTAGTTTATTCTGGCGGTATTCAATTTCTTGCTGACATACATCTCCAATCAACATGAGGACACTGGAGCTGACGGTATTCGTTAATAGTAAATATTTCCCAAACGCCAAAGTTACACTAGATCGAATTGGCGACTGTGTAGGTTTTGTCTGTGATACATATCTAACAATATTTGTAACGCAACTTTTGAACCTGAACATGTTCTTTAATATTGCAGTTTAAGTAAAATTTGAGGTTATGTAAGGGAATACGTTTTCGAAAACTAATTCCTTAATCACAGCAAAATACTGATAATCCCCGCGAATGTAATTGTAGTTATTGTAATATAAAGTTTACATTGCTAATCCACTGCTTCATGGTCTGAACTAAGTATTTTGAACATAACACATACAAGTTGCGTCATATTTGAAATTGACAAAAATCATCTGTCAAATCAGATAAGAATAAGATAGATGATAGATGTTTAGAGGATTAGAGGCTGAGCTTAGTCCTGATTAAACATTAAAAGTCAAGATAGCTAAAATAATGGATTTTGTTAACAGTGCGTTGCGTAAAGACAGCTAATCCACTTTGTTTTGAAATTCCCCGTATGCGCGTTTTTCTTGATAATTAACAAAAGAAATTAAATTGATAAGGTTAAGTAAGGTTAGTTTTTCTATGGGAAAGCGTACGAAAAGACCTAAATCGTAATCATTATTAATTCTTTCTTTCGGGTGCCATTTTTGGATCTAAACGCGTTATGATGATCCCAAAATCATGTTCGTAGTTTTCTTGTTTCCGGATCAAGTCAGATTATGATCGGTAATCGAATTCTCCTTCCCCTATGAATCAAACTTTTTCTGTGATTCGAACTTTTGTTTTGATCACGATCACATATTTAATATAACTTTACAATTGTGATGGTTCCGTTTTTCTCTAAGAAGGCAGTTACTATTTTTATTTTAATTGTACACGGAAGAATAGGTAAACCTAAACGATATTTAAAATTAAATCAAATGTCAATAGTAAACAAATCCTGTTCTCTTCGACATTCAGAGACTGGATCTGGTATCTGGTACTGGTCGCCAGTGTTGCCAGATGGAAATTTCTGTCAACAGTAGGAATGTAGCCAAAAAAACAGGAGATTTCTTTTTTCAACAGGAGATTTTAATAAATATATTTTTTAATAGAGGAACACATGCACAAAATATAGCAAAATATTATATTTATATAATATATAAATGTAGGAGTTCGTTTAATAGTTTGCAATTACATCGGTACGTCACGTGATTTTATAACTGTCAGTTGTCAAAATAAAAAATCCCAGAATCCCGCTGTAGTAAACGAACGAAACGAGACGCCTTCTGTTAGGCCCAGTTCATATAAACGCGAATTGCGGATTAAAAATTTAAATATGTACATGAACTGCAATATCAGTAAAAGATCTTGCATGAACTCGGCTACAGAAAATATAACGGGACTGAAAATATTAACAACTGACGAACACAGTGCCGTTAGAGAACAGTGTCGTACTAAAATATTCTTATTCTGAGGAAAATTAGTATAATCAACAGAAGATTTCATAGAGAAACCAGAAGAATAGACATCGAGACTAAAAACAGTGTGCTCATTGTGAAAACAGTAGAACAGGAGAGTGAGAGTGAAAACAGGAGATCTCCTGTTAAAACAGGAGATCTGGTAACACTGCTGGTCACATACTTCTGTAGATAGATAGGATAGATCATATAAATTTATTTAGTCATATGGGATAGATGATAGAAGTATGTGGATCTAGTTCGTGTTTGTCTGATTGTGATTCTGTGATCATGATTCAAAGCTGAGAGCAAAAGAAAACGACTATTATCTAACTATATCACATTCGGCCACAATCTTCGAGCATATACCTACTAGAGGCAGCCTTCAATGCTAAATGAAATGAGCGAACAGACGTGCGAGAGAGAAAGCAAATAAAACTATTAGTGAGAGAGATAGCTAGTGGTTTTATTTGCTTTCTCTCTCTGACGTTTGTTCGCTCATTTAGCATTGAAGGCTGCCTCTAGTAGGTATATGATCGAAGGGCACAATAGGCCTAATAAGGCCGCGGTGCTATGGGACTTTCAGAACCAACCACTAGGGAAAAGAAGAATAGGATTATACTCTATATTATTATATTGATTAGTATCTATTCTGCACAGCGGCCCGACGCGTCGACAGAGAGCCAGACATTGACATAATCCCCCCCGCAACACCTGACGAACTAAGACTGACAATACGCAGACTTAAAAACAGAAAAGCCCCCGGACCCGACAATATACATAACACGACACTTAAACGACTACCACACAAGGGCCTCATGGCCCTACTAAACATAACAAACGCGACACTCAGACTAAGACACTTCCCTACCCGCTGGAAAACAGCAAACATAATCCTTATCTCAAAACCCAACAAAGATCACACCATCCCATCCAACTACCGGCCCATTAGCCTGCTCCCGGCTATGAGCAAAGTGGTAGAAAAAATTATCCTAACCCGTCTAAGAACCCACTCCCAAGAACTGCAAGTCATTCCAGACGAGCAGTTCGCCTTCCGACCCAATCACTCCACTGAACTCCAAATCCTTCGCCTTACCGAGCACATCACGGCGGCCTTCAACAGGGGACAGTACACTGGTGCTGTCTTCCTGGACGTCGCAAAGGCCTTCGATACGGTTTGGCATGAAGGCCTACTGATGAAAATGCTCACCAACCAATATCCCATATCCTTTACCAAACTCATAAAATCCTACCTACACCACCGAAAATTCCGCATCCAAATCCAAGATTCCCTTTCCACCACCCGTCCCATGGAGGCCGGTGTCCCCCAGGGCACCGTCCTGTCTCCACACCTATACACCATTTACAACTCCGACATCCCACATCCCCCCAACACCAACATATACTTATACGCCGACGACCTGACAATCACATCCCAATCCGTAGATCCTAGATATTCCGTCTCCCTCCTCCAAAACTCCTTAGACCAACTTGAAACCTGGTGCAACAGGTGGAAAGTCAAAATTAATCCCAACAAAAGTTCGGCTATCCTTTTTACCAAACGAAAAATCCCACAAAACCTCGACAGACTGACACTATCCCAGGAACCTATCTCCTGGAATCGACAAACACGATACCTGGGCGTGACGATGGACCAGCGTCTCACGTGGAAACCGCACATCGTGGAGACGGTGGCGCGAGCGAAGACCACCAGGGCTAGGCTCTATCCCTTACTCAAAGGTGGAAACACCCTCAGTTTAAGGAATAAGCGAACGCTTATCAAGGTGGTACTTCAACCGCAGCTAACCTACGCCTCCACGGCGTGGGGTCACGCGGCAAAAAGCCACTTAAAGTCATTACAGGCTGTGGAAAACATAGCCCTCCGCACGGCCACCGACGCGCCCTGGTACGTAAGAAACACTGACATATTACGAGACTTACAATACACAAACGCTACACAGACAATAAGACAAAACGCGGAGAAACGGTTTGACGTAGCCGCTAGACATGACAATCCCCTCCTCAGGCAAGCCGTTGACTACGTACCCGACGTGACCGACAAACACAAAAGACCTAGACACCAACTTTTTGACCCCGGGTGACCCCCCCAACGACCGCCCGCTAACCTTTTCTGTTTCAGAGACAGCCAGGATCAAGAAACGAAGACAACGACACACACACACATACACACCCCCCATACCCTCCTTACCCCTCCCCTCCCGCGCTGGCCTAAGGGCCACCTTAGCTAAGCGCATTCCAGGCTGCATAGCCGCACTACCCTACCCAACCATAATACACATAAACATGACACTACCCCCGGGGTTTACACAGACGAGCCGGCGAAGCAAGAAGAGCGCCAGAAGAAAGGGCCCTAGCCGGCGGGGCCCAGCCAGGACAAAAGGAGGTCCCACAAAGCGCCTACACCGGCCGCATTTGCGGTCGGGGTAGACGACGGATGGGGCCCACCTACGAAGGCTGTCCAGGCCTACACGAGATGAGGCAGGATAAAGAGGGATAATCCCCCTCGATTCCAAATCATTGAGGCCAATTTCTAGCCATGGAATAATGGCGCGTATTCTGCACAATAGACAGGTGGCATCACGCTTCACACGTTTGTAATTTTAGCATTTCTAGCTTCCTTTGTAATAATTGACTTCCGTGCCACCTCTTAACCAGCTGCTCAACTATTCGCAATTCTACCATTTTGTGAAAGATATCTACACTACGAACTAGAAACTTGCTGAAAAAATAATCATTATTTTTTATTTTAGAATTGAATTCATCAAAATACCTATCTTATAAACTTTATCTGTAAGTCAGCTATATATTATAGAAATAGAAGTTTTGTCATTAATGGGTTATAAAAGAAGGAATTATCACATTGAAAAAAAATACATTCCAAAATAGTTTCGTTTCTTATGCAACACACAATAGTCAAGATCAAATTTAAATAATTTTTTTGTCAATAGAGATCTGAAAAGTAATAACTCAGGAAAAATATACATAAAAAAGTAATATAAATTGGTAAATATTAATTTAATTTTATAAACATACAATTCATAAATAAAAATATTAACTTTGTCCTTTGTCTAACTTTAATTTATATGCATTTTCTTCTGCCGTTTCCCTATGTTTAATGTACGATAGGAACACATTATATAACATCGATATAAAATTTGTATAAAAAGCTTGGTACTTTAGTGGAACATAGCAGAAATTGATAAGCTGTGTTGGGGTCCATACTAACCAATCCAACTAAAAAATATAAAATAATATATATTTTTAAAGCAACCGGTGGCTATAAAACAGTGTTCTAGAATGAATTGCCTTTTGTAATTACATATATACAAATGGCGATGATTATTACGTACCACATAAACTGTGACAAATTTATTTTTAAGTTCTTTATTACATTCCTTAATTGGTTTCGACTCCAAGGCACCCATACTATAGAAGAAAGCAGCTATGCAAATAGGACTCATAACAAATTGATCTATGAGAATTTTTTTTGTTAAAGTTGCCAAATTTCTGGCCGGCATAGCTTTACCCAGCCATACAAAGAAATAGTGATTTAGGGGCCCGAAACCTAAACCTATTGTAAACATTCGAGCTGAAAATAAAATTATATAAACTGAAAAAACCTAATTCATAACATACTTAAACGTCCATAGTCATATCTTTGAGGTAGTTTCTTCTGACGGTACTCGATTTCCTGCTGATATAAATCTCCCATTATCATAAGAACACCAGAACTGACAGTATTTGTTAATAGTAAATATTTACCAAAGGCTAAAGTCGCAATATTTGATCGAATTGGCAACTTTGTAGAGTTTCTTCTTGATACATATCTAACAATATTCGTAATGCAGCTATTAATCCTGAACGTGTTTTCTAATACCGCAATTTAAATAAAATTTGAGTTCATGTAATGGAACATGTGTTTGAAAATTAACTACTTAATCATAATCATAGATAAGATAATATATATATAATAAATCATAATAAATACAAATGTAAATTAAGGAGTCCCGTTTTGTAGCGCTGATGCACTGGAGTCTAGTAACGAAATTGGCTTACAATATCCAATGTCGCACGTCTTTCCTGTTTCATATTTTACTTGAAGATTGGAGATCTATTTTATGTTTTGTGTTTGAGACTACACTCCCTGCTTTACTTATTTAAATCCTTAAAATATAGAATATTGTGTTTATTGTGTCTAAACTTAAATCAGCGCCATCAGAAACAGAAACAGTTCATACAGATCTGACATTTGACATTTGACCAGTGTTGCCAGATGGAAATTTCTGTCAACAGTAGAAACAGGGAGACTAGATAGAGACTGAGAGAGTCTCCATGAGGCGATGTAGAAACTAGAAAGCCACAAAAATGAAATCTTCATTACCGATTCTTAACTGTTTATGATATGGCTTAAATATTTCTCGATAGATGACTCTGTTTCAAAAAAACGCTGAGTTTTCTGTTATCTGTGACCGTGGTGCTGCCGTGTTTATAAATGGCAGCTTCTTTGCACAATTTGGTGTAAATAAACAGTGATTTTGCTTTTAAAATAATACTGCTGTGTTATTTTTAAACTGCCGTTGCATTGGTTTAATAAGAGGTTAGTACAAATTAGGTTATAATGAAATTGCCATAATGTTTCATTCATGAAAAGAAAAGAAATAGACTTTTCATGATGCTTTGTTTCCTTCCAGTGCAAAAATTCAAGAAAATATTTCACATACAACATAAGTTAGGGATGAGAGGTGGTTTTGTAACATGCTTGATACACCAGATGTTAAACAAAGTGCAGATAAAAAGGTAGGCATCATTATATTATTTTATTGACATTCAATATAATGCAAATTAAACAATAATATTTAGATATAGTACATATTAAGTAAATAACTGTATTTGCAATATTACACCTTGGGTTTGACATTCTGTTTAAACGTTTTTAATTATGTTTAAAGTAAGACAGGAACATACTGTACACTAACGCTATAGCATTTACGTAAAAGACTTGGTATTTCACAGGAACATAATAGAAATTGATAAATTGTGATGGAGCACATAGAAAAAAGTCCATCTGAAAATTAAGACATTATTTTCATGTAGTATCTACTATTAATATCTACATATTTTCCCTACTAACATAATAATTTCTTTCTAATATGTATATCTTTTATGAGTCGTTATATGTAGCTTCAGCTTACCACATAAACGTCCCAGAATTTACTTTTTAATTCTTTTGTACACTCTGGTAATGATTTTGATTCCATAAGGCCCATACCATAAAAGAATATAATTATGCAGAGGGGAGACATTATTATTTGATCTAATATTAATTTTCTTCTTGCCGTTTTCTTACTTCTATCTGGCATAATTTTGGCCATCCATATATAAAAATAATGATTTATTGACCCAAATGCTAAACCAATTAAGAACATACGATCTAAAATCAACAATTATTTTTAATTGATTAACAAATGTTCATAAGAAACATACTTAGCCGCCCATAATCATATCTTTTAGTCAATTTCTTGTTTTGGTATTCGATTTCTTGCTGCAAGCAATCTCCTAATAACATAAGAACGCCAGAGCTGATGGTGTTCGTCACGAATAAATATTTGCCAAAGGCCAATGATATACCAACTCGAATGGGTGATGGTCTACATCTTGATGAGGACATATATCTCACCGTAGTTGGAAATTTAATCTTCAGTAGATTTTTTAACATTGCAATTTGTGCCTGTTTTCGGGATGTGATCCATAACAAATATTCCTGCAAACGAACCATTCAAGAATAATAAATGTAAGTTGTATGTGCCAATACTACAAGAAATTAGTAGCATGGTAGTTAAATTGACGTTATATTTACACTGTAATGGGGTACAAAACGCTGTGACAGAATTAACAAAATTAATATAAAAATAAAAGGATAGTAAATCTACTCTATTCGTGCATAAAATTAGGTTTAAATAGTTACATATTGCCACAATATTTTGAAAGTTATCTATCCATAGAATTATCGATTGACCCTTCTATTTCAAGAAATCGGCCATTGAGGTTAAGCGGGAAAAACGAAATTGGTTTCTGTATGCGCGGAGTATAACAAGTTGCATACAGCTGAACATGTATATTTTCCATTTGTATGGTTTGCTTCTGATTATTTTGTTCGGACTTAATTATTTTTTTGTCTTCATTTGTATAATTTTTTCGAATTAATGGATCTTGTAAGAGCGTAAAACTTTATCTGTTAATGTTTAGAAAATACCATTACTTTCTTATACAAAAAATGTATGTTATTCTATTATCAATACGCTGATGCTTCTGAACATCTTGTGCGTTTATGATGCATTTCCTGTATATTAAGTTACAAAGAAAAGGATGTGTTACTTAATTATCGCAGTTCATGCTTTTATTGTTGACGAACTGGAAGGTTATACATTTCTGACGAAGCGTCATTTCTAACCGACGTGTGTTGCGTTTTCGAATTATTGTAATTATTGTAATGAACAACAACTTAAATTTTATTATCCACACTGAAAGTTCTGCAGTAATAACGTTGTTTATGCACCCAGTTCCGCTACTTTAATGGCACATGTGTATATAACAACTTTTAGTTCTTTAGGCTGTTCCTTTTTTAATCAGTCATGGGAAAGTGAGTTACTGTGTTCTGTTACGCGCTAACATAGTTATGTTAATTCGTGTAAGCAACGGTTGGTTATTATTTTTTTTAGGTTCTACACGTACTTACATGCGACTAATTAACTTCTATATGACCTTTGTTCTAATTTTATATAAATTTCCGTACATATTATAACAAAACAATTACTATTCACTCGTTTATATGCAATTTTGGCGACACCAAATCATGAAAAAGTAAAAATCTGCTTCTTACCTTAGTTTCATAACCTACGATTCTGTAACAGCCTTGGTATAACTTGCAATTTTTTTTTCCAGAGAAAATTTGTTAGAGGAAATAATTAAAATAATTTTTAGACCATTAATTTAAAACCGAATTAGCCCAATAATTTGAATGTCATACGTAAAATTTCATCGTGATTTATAGACGCCCAGCTGACATCACTGCCACAGCGTAGTTGACAGTTTGGTTATACAGGGGGTCCCAGTATTCCTTGTGCATGCAACTACCTGCTCTTCTTGGGGTTAAAATATCGTTGTAATAATAATTGTAAGTTTATCGACCTAAGGTAGATAGTTTATTTAGCATCAAGTAAAAATAAAATTTTTATGATAATAGTTGCACAAATGATATGAACTGACTTTTAAAAATCGCTTTAAACTAATTGTAAGAAAGGAAAATGTTGTCCAGTCGGTATCTGTTTTAAAAGTAGGTTGTGTGGATGTTTCATAGTAACGCTAATTTTTGTTGGAAATACTTCTAAATATTATGTAAAATGATAATGGCGATATGCGGCCGCTGAAAAAGTTGTGCATAATTGTTAGCCCAAGAAAATGTAAAAAAATGAAAAAAGGCGCATTTTTCTCCCTTTCATGTATAACTCGGAGAATATTGACATTAGAGAAAATATAGTCAAAGGAAAAAAGTTTTGAGATTCTCTTCAAAATAAAAGTCCGAAATTTTTATGTGCATTATTATTGCTGCAATACAGTATAGACCGAAAAAAAGTAGATAATGAATCTAGTTGCAATTATTTTGCTGTAAAACGACCTTGACAGTAGTTTGTGTTCGTTACTTCTTGAGATTTCAATTGCTGCAGGAGCATATTCGTGATATAAAGGTAAATATGACTTTATAACGCTAGAAAATGTTATTATATTTTCCTACTTTCCATAAGTAGTAAATTTCCTTGTACTTTAACAAGTCTATTTTCATTTTTGTGAAATATTATTAATATAAAAGTTTTCTTAGCTGAATTTTCTATATATTATGTACGGTTTTACCGTGAGAGAATATTGAAAAATAAGTATAATTCTGGATTTTCTTAATGAACAATTTAATTGTACGAAATCTACCCGGCCGATTTCGATGAAAAAATTTCTGCAGTACTACCCTATCATGAAGTACTCAGAACCATACTTTTTATATGGCTGCTCTAAAGTCAAGATCGGAAATAAATTCATGAAAAAAACATATTTTTTCACGATTTTTTTTGCCTCTACTGTATTGCAGCAACAATAATGCACATAAAATTTTATTTTGAAGAGAATCTCAAAACGAAACTTTTTTCCTTTGACTATAAGGGAGAAAAATGCGCCTTTAAATTTTTTTTTGACATTTTCTTGCGTATATCGCAATTATCATTTTACAACTATTTCCAATAAAAATTAGCGTTACTAATGTAAAATATTCATCCCGAAACATGTTATGTATTTTAAGAAAAAAAAAAAAAAAAACAATTGGAGAGTTTCTAGTCAACATTAATGTTTCATGTCAACTTTAAAACGCTTTGTCAGATTTAGATGAAATTTAGTGTTTGAATGAATAGTTTTAGTAAAATTCAAAGATCCACAACTTGTCCATTATGTCCGTCATTAGAAAAGAAAACAGCCACCTGCAGAAGCAATTATCTAATTGCTGTTTCACTTAACATCCCATTTATGTGATATCTATAATTATATTATCCGCAGTTACAAGAGCGCTTTTGAAATAATCATTGGAAATTTAATAGATGGTTAGCGATTACGCCGCCTCTTATTTACATTTTATTGGCGATTTTCTACGGACTGATCGGGTAATTAGTCACTTGGTTGCATAGATCCACAATCGGTCCGTTGTTGACAGGCGTGATAATTGCCCGATTAGGATGGTTGGGACACATTAGCTGGTTCCATCCTTTTTGTGTAACTTCTCGTGTTGCAAGATCAGCAACATCTCTGGAGATCGATCGACCGTTGCTGAGGACCTGCTCATCTTCGCAATCGAGCAAAAGAAAAGTGTGAGTGCCAGGGGCGGCTCCTCCATAAGTGTCGCATAACCGGCGAAATTATAGCAGAAATATAACACCAAGACAACTAAATTCATATTTTTACCAAAATTCGTTATAATAAATATAAAATTATTATTATTTTAATACTATCACTAATGACCAACCCAAACTATACTAAAACGTAAAACAACAGTAATCAGTAGCCTTCAAAAATAATCGAATCGGATTGACGCTGTTGAAATACGGGCAGCAGCTCAAATCCTCACTTATCTTATGAACGTGAAAGTTCGGATTAAGGGCCCCATATTCTTTAAATAGTGTTTTCCGCAAAGACAAATAATTTCAAACATTTAATAACTGAATAATCTAAAGCTTATCAAATAACAGGAATGTTATGTCATGCCACCTGAGTATTTTCAAAGACGCCGCAGTAAAACGAATAAACAGGTGCAAAAACGATCAAACCATCAAGGTTTTAGGTACTGAAATCTACGAAAATACTAACTTTTTTATATATAACATCACATGTAAATATTCTTATAACATTTACTTGCTTAGTCCTACATATAAAATTGTTTACTTTTATTTATAAGTACGTGAAAATAATTCTTAAAATGTGGGGTTAGGATAACAGCAAACGCATGTTTTACAAACGCTTTTTTTTTAGTTATTATTTTATTTGAGTAAATTAAATGGTAACAATGAATAAACAAAACATCAAGGATTTTATTTTTGGGCTTACTTTTGTTCTACACGTTTTACTTTTAAAGATTTCAGTACCTAAAAACGCCAGAAATTTCACTATTTCTCGGCCAGAAATATGGCCACCTTAAGTTGAAGCTCAATCGGGTTTGCTTCGAATGTCATCAAATAACTGCATCTCAAGCAGCCCAGCCGGCAGTTTTGTATCTTCGTGACTCTTGACGGTATAACTTTGTTTTGTTGTTTCTCTGCCGCTCTGCTAATTTAGATCTAGAAGTATGTAGTTACTTTAAATAATAAATGGAATTTAAATTGTGTTAAATTAAATTTCACAAACTCAATTATTATCATTAACAGTACCTCTGGCCTAAGGGGTTCGGTGTCGGCGTCTTCATGGTCACTCTGGAATAATACAGTATATTAAACACTTTTTTTACCTTGAATCAACTGTGATAATACACAAAATTGTCGTGAATTTACTCATGAAGCAAAATTGTAAGAATACAGCTGATTCATAACTTATCCAAAAAAATTTGGGAATAGATGCGTCGTGAAAAATGGAGTCAATGTCACAAAAAAAAATTGTAAAATCCTTATAGTTTTCGAGAAAAAAATTATTGAAATTGTAGTATTTTTAATTTTTACATTGCTGGGCCACTGTAGTCTCTAGCGCCATTCGCCCACGTGGTTCCAGGCGATTCCGAATACTGAAATCCGATTTTAGTATTATCGTTGTTGCGATAGTGTTTACATTAGTTTTTCAAGTGTCAAAAATGGCTTAAGTGTATAGCAACTCGGAGTTGATGGATATCGTTTTAATTTGTGGTACACCAGACAATATTTGTGTTATCGTGAAGCATTTGTGTTAGTTGGTAGAAACTGGGTAAAACGGACCCAAATGTGTTTACACGTCGGCGGACAAAATTTTGAATAGTTGTCATGGGCGTAGCTAGGATTTTTACTAGGGGTGGGCCTAGGGCTGCAAGCTCTATGGAGGCTTCTAAAAAAACCGCACGCATTTCAAAACCGAGGCCTAAAAAATGCACGCACTTCAAAACCTAAACACTTTTTCGTTTGATTCGAAAAGAAAAAAAAGGTATGTATCGGTAGATCGCAATGAGCGACAGCCGTTAAGACCCGGGAAATGTATTTAAGCACAGATATAAAAATCAACCTTATTCGGGCGCTGCCCAGGCACCACTGTCACAAACAACACCCTCTTTTAGTTTCGGCATTCCGGGCTACATTATATATTCATAAATTACATTATCTCAAGGGCAAATATACACTTGGCTGGCGTATTCCGTGTGAACAGCTGAGGTTTGATTCAAAGCATCCATAATAGTTTTCATTTCATAATAAAATATATATACTGATTGATTCCTATTATTATTACAATACTTCAAAAATAAACAAGTGTTACAATTATTACCGTTCTTCCTCGCTCTTATGTTATATGATAAAATCGTCTTCGTTATCCATCTCCTTGCCTTTTGAATTTATTGTGAATGTATCTATTTGCTTATTTTATTACTTCTAATTTATTAGGTATTTACTCGGATACTTCTCAAAGTACGCAGAATGCATATTATAATGATGTATAACTTTTGAAGGATAGGATTTATACAGTACGTACGTACTGCAGATAGCAGGTAAAATCACCTTTCTGCTAATAGCAGGGCAAACGTTCAAACAAACGAACAACTTTACTCAACGAAACAAATTACGTTCCTTATATTTACATATTTTATTTGCTTTATCTCGGCCTCGGTTGTCAACTGAAAACAAGCAACCAGCCAGCGTTGCCTGTTGCCTGTTTAAATACGGTCGGACTAATAAACTCGGATTCAGCTGGTGCATTTTCTCGTCTTGCCTGTTCCTGAGACAGGTAAAAACTGCATTTTTTTAGTGTCGGGGGTCTCGTCCTTGCCCTAAGAGCTGTCACTCGTCTGGGGGAGCAATTTTTAGAGTCGGAGGTATGCAAAGTGGATTGATCTGTGGAAAATAAAAATATCTAGTTGCAGAGAACAAATGCCGTTTGGAATTGTTTGAAAAGTGTTTTTTTTTTGTGTTTTTTGCGATACAGGGTGTTACATAAATGATAAAAAATATGTCTTGACGTGATGCAAGTTATCAGTTTGATTTGGATTTGGGTTATTTCTTGAGAAAACAATCTCGTCATCAATATCTAGCTCAAGGGTCTGTTGAGGTTGGCGGGAGGGGAGAGACGCCCGATTATCCCGGTCGATATGAGGGTGTAAGGTCACCTTTATACGTCAAGGCATAATCCAACCGATTAAAATCCACGACCGTAGTCCTTACATCATTACCTATAGTCTGTATGAGACTGAAAAAGATGGAAACTGGAAAATAAAAGAAATCAGAGTGGAATTCATAAAATAAATTTTAAAATACGAAGATAAAAAAGTA